AATAAATTAAATAAATCAAGTAAGAAAGAAAGAATTAAAGTAATATAAATTTAAATAAATAAATAAATACATATGTAAAAAAATAAAGAATCAGGTAAATAAATAAATAATTGAATAAATATATAGATAAATATAAATATAAATATATATCCGCTGGCGCCTTTTTATAACATAAAGATATTTATATATATATATATAGTTTCTATATGCATGCGTTTGTGATTGTATGCAGATTTAAATGTGTTGTCGTGTGAAAGCACGAATTCCGGATGACCAAGCCATTGAGTTTAATGATCTTCGAACTCATGTCTCATTAATAGAGGCGAAAATGCATAGTTTCTAGGCTCAAGTACGTCCGAACGGTAGTGAGGACTCGAGCAGAGCCAAACTGTGGTATCCTCGGCCAAGCACATAGGCTTTGTCTATTAACCGGTATCGAAGTCAAGCTTGTTGAAAGGCCCTAGCAACAGCGCAAAAACCATTAGAACATGTCTTTTTTGGTCTGACCGAGGGACGGTTCGATCGGTTTGAGAAGTGAATTTGAGTATAGAAAAGCTGATTTCGTTTGGTCTGTTGCAGCCATGCTAAAGTGAGATGTGCATACAAATGGAAAAGAACGGAAAGTATGCAATACCTTTTTCTGCGAAGCATCACAAGACCAGAACTGCCAGAACTGCGTCGTTGCTGCCAGGCACCAGCGGACTGTACCCTCTCCCCGAGTGCTCCCTGCCCTCGAGACCAGCAGTACCGGCCAAGGGTGTTAGGGCAAGGGGGTGGGGGGGCAGGGCAGAGTGGCAGATGGATTTGGCCTTCGAGTCTGAGAGAGGCAGTACAGCGTGGCACCGACGACGGAGGCGATTGGCGGCAGACGACGCTTCAATCACGCCCAGAGTTGGCACGGAAACCAGCCCTAACAACATCGTTGGGGCGCATTGAGTGCTGGACCTTTGTGCCTGTCAGTCTGGGTGGAAATGCGCCCAGCTTCAGTGGAGCCGTGAGGTACGCGCCCCATTTTCAGATTATTTTAAGACGAAAATCTACTAATTAACCGAAACTGGCACGAAGGAGAGATGAGGCGAGAAGAAAAAGAAGAAGAATTAGAATAAGAGGGATAGAGAGAGAGAGAGAGAGAGATAGAGAGCAAGTGCTTGTAAGCGTGCGCAATTTGAGTCAGCCCAACGGTGCAGGCTTTTGTCGGTACAGTTCGGCGGTTTTAGGCCTCAGAATGGGCCAAGGTGGTGGAGAAAAGTGGCGAGGTTGATATAAATAATCTCTTGAGTTGGGAAGACGTCTGCCTGAGCGGCAGCAGCGTCCGGGCAGAATTAGCTGCTAAAGAAGCCACGACACGAGATGGAGAGATTGAAGAAGATGTGGTACATTTGGGTCCTACTGATCGGTTTCCTCGTCTCCGGCTGGCCGTTGTCAACGAGAGCCGCTCTGAGTGCCTCGAACATTCGCCGGCTGCAGG